TTGGTCTGCCGGCAGGCACAGGCAATCCCCCAGAAGATGCCCGAGAGCAGCAGGCAGCTGGAAATCACGCCGACAAAAACATATAAAATGGACCAGTCTGTAAGGCAAACGACGGCTTAATATAAAGTCCAAGAGATGAAATGTTTCTATAGCTACCGCAGTTGGCCTCATCGTTGCTGAAGAAGAAGCCTACCGATGGCATCCAGAATGCCTCGCAAATGCAAGCTCTCGTCGAGGGTTCGCATCTGCCATGTCCAGAGCAATTATTCTGGCACACGGTGGTGCGAATGTCCACGTAAAGTGCACCTAGAATCGAGTCATCCTTTTGTAGTTTGGCACGCAACATACGCTCCACATGCAGTCCATCCATTGGCTTCGATTGTCCACCCTTCGCATTGTTGGTCATTACAAAGAACTCCAGCACTGCCGCCTCTGTGTGTAGATCCTGCTTGAGTTCCCTGATTTGTATCTTATTGTCATCGCCCAGCAGCAGCTGCAGCTTCTGCACTGTGGAGTCCAGTTCGCTTTTGGTTACCACCGACAAGCCCATCGGCAGCGTTATTTGCACCAGATTCATAAGCATTGGATCCGCATGGACATTAATGCTGACTGAATCAGTGCCGGTTAGACCCTGATCATCGCTCACAGTTAGCTTGAAGACGTAGCGACCCTGCACCACGTTGCTTAGCTGTAAGAATAGAGCATTTTTATGACAATCCTTCCTAGCTGGTCTCTGGCCTGGACTTACAATCATAATTGGCTGCTTGTCCGTATCGCCCACGATGACGCCGGCCGCCTGACTGGTATCCTCACGCGTCCACACATATTTTACGACAGCCAAATCGTCCGAGGACTGCGAGCCATTCAGATATATAGCTGTGACGGGCAAGGCAATGGTGCGATCTCCGCCAGCATTAGCAATGGGAGCCGCATTGCGTTCTTTGGAATAAATGTGGCATAAGCTTACCATGGATTCATTTTGTTTTTGGCTAACCACCTACCCTGCACAATCTTCACCCAGGTACTGTCGGTGGCCGTGTTGTTGTTCTCATCCGCAACGCTTAGCTCGAACTCGTATAGGCCGAGCGTTAGGCTGGTGGCATTAGCAATCTATACAAGTGGCGGATATGTGAGAGATTAGATTAGGTTTCGTATTGCCTGTTTAACCACTTACAGAGCTGTTCGACTTAAGTATGAGCGCTTTGTTGGGTCCGCTGAGCTGCTTCCACTGATAGCTTTTGATACCAATGTCATCTTTCGATTCAGAGCCATTTAAAGTTGCCCAGTTGATGGGCAGGCTGGTTGTCTGTGCGAATGGGAAGCATGTCATCAATAGATATGAAAGATTTAGCTATTTCTCGACTTACCACATTTGCGCCAGCTTTGGCCGTAGGCGGTGAGTTGGTGGGTGGCTTCACAAATACATGAACCTTGGCGGTGCTCGACTGTTTGCTGCCGTCGGTGACCTTCAGGACGAACGTGTACATGCCCTCCTCCAAGTTGGACAGCTGTACATATGGTGTTCTTGTGTTCTGCATGTCAACCGCTTTCGCCTCGTCGCTGGCATCTTTTGTCCACTCCCATTCAACGATTTCGTGATCGTCGGAGCTGGCGGTTCCGTTGAGCGTCACATTGTTGTTGGGCAGATACAAAATGACGGCATCCCCAGCATTGGCTACCGGCGCGTAGTCCGTCTCCTTCAGCACCTGAATGGTGGCTGTGGTCGAGTTGGTTACATTATTGGAGTCCGTTACGGTCAGCTTAAACGTATAGTTGCCCGGCGAGGTGAGATCCAATTGTAGCGTATTCACCTCCGGCAACTGCGGCTGATAGCCAAGGGGTCCTAGGATGACCTCCCAGTGCCAGTTGACGATCTTGTCATCATCGGTGCTGGTGCTGCCATCGAGCACCGCATTCGAGGTGGGCTGGCGAATGGTTTGCTCCGACGGTGAGATGATTACCTGTGGTGCCTGATTGATCCGCCTCTCGGGCAGCACCGTCACATTTGCGGCTGCCTCGCCAAAGGTGCCATTGTCACCGGTCACAGTCACCTTGAAGGTGTATAGACCCGCGGAGAGGTTCGAGAGCTTCACCTTGGACTTGCTCTGATCGGAAATAGTGCCATTCATCGGTCCCTTGGGCTGTGATATTAGCGTCCACAGATATTTGTATTTGGCGCCGCTCGTCTCCTCATCGGGAACCGTGAACGCGGCTAGCGTCACCTCCTGCTCAGGCAGCTGTACCTCCTTGGACATGACAGACACGGTCACCTTGTTAACTTCTTGTTTCACGGGCGGCTGCGCGACTACCTCTGGCACAATCTCGCTGCCTGCGGCTTCCTGGGTGACCAAAGCAGACGCCTCATTGGGCAAATAGGCGCTGTATGGCACGGCGGGCATAATGCATTTGTGCTGCTTGTTGCGAATAAATCCATGCTTGCAGCTGCATAGACCCGTCACCGCATTCGCCTGGAGCGGTACACACTCCTCCTGCGGTGGACAGGGTGTGTCCAGATCGCAGGTCATGAATTTTGCATTGCTCGGCAGCTCAGCGCCGCCATAGTAGCTAAGATCCTCATCGTTCTCGTCGGGTGGCTGCAGCAGGAGTTGCTTCATGCGCTTTTCCGCCATGGGAAACTCGTCGTCATCGTAGGCGTTGCTATCCTGCAAAAGGAAATAGTAAAGTAAAGGATGCTTAAAGGCAAGCTCTGGCGCGGCTCACCTGAAAGGGCAAACGATGCGGCTGCTTCCAAAAGTTGAGCTCCGACTCGTACGGCAGCATTGCAGCGTTCTGTTTGGTGGCCTTCAGCAGCTGTGTCCAAGTCTCTGGCTGGTCACCATCCACTGGATTGACCAGCACCATTTGTACCTTCTCATTTTCACGCTCCCGCGCCAGTGACTTGGGCAAACAGGCCTCATTGCTGACGCAGTGAATGTGATAGCATTTGCGCTTGAAAACTAAGACCACGTTGCAGGAATTGGTTTGGCTGCGATTCTGCGACTGCGATTTCTCACAGCACGCCTCCAGGCAGCTCCACAGATACGTCTCCTCGTCGAGCACTTGACCCACCTCCGGTTTGTACTCCTCGAAGACGCCAGCCTGCTGCTCATCGCGCGGCGTCGCATTCTCAAAGACATGCCGCAACATGCGTGAGCAGACCGGCAACTGTTTGCTGTTTGCCGTCAGCTCCTGTTTTCCAGCGGTCGCTAGCAGCGCGTTTTGCGTTGTTGTCGTTGTTGTGCCAGCTCCCCCCACTCCAGCTGCCGTCATGACGTTGGCTGACGCGTATGTTGCTGACGCCATACAGAGCCAGAAACAAAGCCAGCCACAATTCGTAGGGCGTGCGCGTTCCATTTCGTTGTGGTAGAGCGTTCTCACAACTGCTTTGGTTATAGTTTATGCCACTTTTGTGCACTTTTTCTAGCTACTTTGCAATAGTTAATACATTTTTATCAACGAGCTGTGAATGGCTCCAGCAGCAGTGTGGCCAGTGCGCGTTGTCCAAGAAATAAAAAAAAAATATATGAAACAAAAAATACCAAAAGCAACATACCAAAAAACAGCTGTTGGGCCGTTCTGCGCCAAGCAATCGACCAGTGCTGTAAACTACCGTCGCGGCGATGTACGTTATATTTGAAGCATACACACTGGCTGGCAAAAGCACAAGAAAAGCTTTTGAAGTATGGTAACTCTGCAGACAGTTACGACGCCTTCTTGGCGCGTTTTAAGGCGTGTTTTTATTGTTAAACAGCTATTGGAAAAAAACGTATATAAATTCGCAATAAATTACAAATCGACTACTTGTGAAATTGCAAATATTGATTTAAGAACGCGAATTGTAAAACTGTTCGCGTGCGCCCACACACAGAAAACACACAAAACACCCAACAAAAACTGGCTGAGAAACGAGCTCAAGTGGGACGTACGCCCACGCGTAAATGGAATTTTAATCGAAGTGCTGCCTTAAATCAAAACAATATTAATTATGTACATAAGAAAACAACAGCAACAGCAACAAATCGACCAACTGTAGCATTCACTAGATCTTAAATACCCAAAGCAAATGTTATGTATTTAAATACAAAAATCGAAACAGAAATTGAATTATCATAACTAAACAAACATTAATCAATTCGTGAACATAAAAGCTATTGTAGTTTTTTGTTTTAAAACTAACACGTTTCTGTTGTTGCTCAACGGGGGCTGTTTTAGTTATGGGCTCCATTTTATCTAAAGCACATTGCATTACCGAGCAGGGCGCACGGCGCCATGAACGCCACAGTTTTGCAGGCACTGAGCAGTACACGGCAAGAAAATGATTCAAATGTAGGTGCCATTTTCTGTGCTGCAAATATGAATAAATACACAAATCATGTTATTGGCTTAATTGTTATTGTTTGACTTTTGAAGTGTTTTCTTGCGCTGCCAAAATGCAAATCACGTTATCGGTTTATGGCTCATGCGGTGCTTTTTTTTATGCTTCCAACTCTTTCAGCTCATTTCTATGCACATAAAATACATTTCATTAAATATTTGCCCAACCAAAGAATTCTGAATGAAAAAGTGCTCGGCCCCTAGACTCACAGACGCGAGATTAGATTTTCTTCTGTTGCCCATAAAAGGCAAAACTTGTCTAGCTGTAGTTGCAATCTACCTGTAAATAACTTAGTATAATATTTAAATTATCTAGCTGAGCAATTTCTTCTCTCTTCCCTCACAGATGACAGACTTCTCGGATAGTTCACAGAGCGGCATGTTGAGTCCGGCGACGACGCTCATTGAAAGTTTCAACAAGAAGAGTGGCCCCGCATCGACCACGCCCCTGTCCAGCTGCAATACGCCCACGCTGAACGGCAGCGTCACAGCCAACGGAGGGGGCCCCCTAACGGCGGGCAGCACAACAGTCGCCAGTTTGGGCGGACGACAGATCAATACAAGTTCGAGTTCTTGCAGTAGTCTTAAGGAAACCTCACATCAGTCCACATCGCAGCAGGTAGGTGGCAGGTGCTTCAGATAAGATCACAAAGATGCAAACTGCAAGCACATTACGTATACGCAATGCTGTCAGTTGGTTAATAATTGATTGCTTCCCCTTGATAAATAGAAACTCACATTATCTGTGTACTTGCGTCTATTTTTAGGCAATTACTTAAGCCAAAAATTTAAGACCTACATATGAAAATTCTAGACCCTAGACGTACCTGATAAGCCCAACAACAATAGTTCGCCGGGCCAGCACGTTTTCCATTGCCTGCCAAAGGTGAAACGATTCGATATGAGAATGTTCTGATTAGATTATTGCAATTCTGATTGGCGTCGCAGCGGCTGCTGTAGAGAAATCAATTAATGCTTCTGCGATTACTTTGAATACTTTTCGCTATATTTGGCACATTCATTTGTTATTTGTTATTTGTTGTGGTATTGATTGAGCAAAGCCATAAAATTAATTGCCCAAACTCAGTTTATGCACATACATACATACATATACATACCTTTACATTTGCTCGAAACGTGCCGCTTGCCACAACAATTTCTGTTTAAACATTTAACGAGCTACTAAGAAAAATTTCCCACAATGAAGTCGATTTTGGTTGTATTCACTTTTGGTTTAGATAAGATTGCTTTAGCGGCATTTGCATTTTACAGTTCCGTTTGGAGTTTTTATTTTTATTTTATCTGTGCATAATTTCCGTTGCCTGATAAGCGATTTACCATCAGAAACGTTTTCAGTTTGTCAGGGTATGATAAAATCAGGCGGTTGATATGCGTACAATATTACCACTTTGCGAGTCTTCTATGCGATTCTCATGATCTCTAGTTACATTCTAATTCTCATTTGTTGCCAATAGTCTTCTTTTCTTCTTTTTCGCTCCATGTTACTCTCTCCCGCTAAGATAACATAGAAATATAATATTTTTGGCAATTCGGAGCTAGGTAAAGGGCATTTTCAAGTCGACTCTGGACTTACTCTCACTTGATTTTTTATCAATTCATTGACATTTCACATTGAATCACTTGCCTCCAAAATAGTCGCTTACAGGGCACAGTTGTCGCTGCCTTGGTCAAGTTTTTTATTATTAATTAACGCACCCATCAAATTATGTGCGGCTATCAAAGTGGGTGACAAATGCGCGAGCTTTTAAATAGCTGCTTGTGTAATCATCATCCATGACCAAAGCTCCACGTGCGTACAATTTACCGTTTATTTGAGAGCAATTGAATTTGCCTAAGTATACTTTGATTTGTTCTTGCTCTGCTCTGTTTCGGCCAATGACTCATTTGCCGGTAGGTGTCGCTGTCGTCGTTGTCGCTGCCGGCGTAGGTGCTGCTCTTGATGGCGGCAGCACGTCAATGTCGCGCCGTCGCGTCGTCTTTGGCTCGTGACGTCCGTAAATGGCTCGTGCTGTAGCTCTCACGGCGAGCACGTTTAGCTTTTAAGCGGATGCTTTCTGCAGATAAGCGCAGCTTAAGCTTTTCTTTGACCGAGCTTTGATAAACATTCTGCGCTCAGCTCAACGTGTGAATCGTACGCAGGGAGCAAAGAGTGTGCACCTATTCCTGATTTCTAGGAAACGATTTTGTTGGCCAATTGGTTGACATGTGAATTTCCAAGGAAAACTTTTATTTTAGAATGAGCCAAGGACCGATACGATTTTGTTTCGCAGAAAATTGTACAATTTGTAGAAAATACAATGAATGTAGAAATAAATCGAAAACAAGTATGACTACATGTATGTGCATGTACACATATCAAGCATATGTGTAAGTGTTCATAATCGAAGCACATTAGGAATACTTCTTAGATAATACATGCATGCTTTCACATGCTTATGTACACATGCATACATACATACATATATGTGTGTGTAACAGCTGTGCAATTGCCAGATAGTGTACATGTGTGTGTGTGTAGCGGGGGAGTATGAAGAAAACAAGAATTCGATGACGCATTGCAGATTGCGGGGTGTGAATAAGTCAACAAAAGATGGTGCAAATTGGGGATTAAATAAAATACTTAACTAACGCCAGGTGTAATATATAAGACTTAACATAATAACAAATATAACAAATATGGTATCAAAATAATAGAAGCTAATGAACCTTATTTATGACTGCTAAATGATTAATGGCCCAAATTGTATTAATCATTTTAGCATTTTGAAGTTAGTACAAAGAGAATTTCAAATAATTATAGAGATAGGTTTAAGGCTAGTTAGGATCTTAACTGATTATGCAAATTCGAAATGTCAATTGTTTAGCAATTATACATAAATTAGCACACATATAGACATGTAAATACATGTATGCCTACATATGTGCATAATCAGCAGACTTATTAACACTAACGAAATGCCAAACAATAATTATTAATATAAACACACAAAACTAAACAAAACACAAATCACGGCACACACACACACACACACACACACACACACACACACACACACGCAGACAACAGCAATCGCAACCTCTCCCTCCGTCACGCCCCCACCCAGCTGGTGTGAATGCAAAAGAGCGACACTAATCAAATAAGTAAGCGACAAAATGAGATGGAAATACACACACACACACGCACTTACATTCTGAAAACAGACTCCATAAAGCTTAATACTTATAAACTTTAAGCTGAACGCGTTAATTAGAAAACCCCGCTTGAACTGAAACGTGAGGCTAGCGCAGAATTATGGAAATGCACAAATTCGCTGCATAAATTAGATAATAGATAAAAATAAACGACGCGTTCTTCTACTGGCTATTCCTGTTGTTGTTATTGTTGTTGTTGTTGTTGCTGCTTTTACACAGTTGCCGGCGAGAATATTTACAATATGATTTCCTAGAATTCTCAGCGCTGAGCTCACGTCAACGCCAACTTTGTGCTGCTCGCCATCTAGCCATCTAGCCATCCCGCTCGCACCCACAGCGATCGCTGCTAGTGGCACTTTAAAATGACAATCGGCTGGCGTCGACGTCGGCAGCGCCAAAAGCTCTAGCCAGCCAGAGCCCCAGCAACGCAGCTAGAAATTTGCTCATTTTACTTTAGTTAACGAAACGAACGAGAAGCGAGCGTCGCGCAAAAAAAAGGCATTGAAAACAAGAAGAAGCAGAAAAAAAGGAAACCGTCGCAAAATCCCATTTAATTGTTGAATTTTAGCCAAACGTGCAATGATTTTTTTTTGTGTGACGGCAGCGCCTCAAATATAATAGATATTTAAACCACAATTTACATAATTATAATTTGCAACGATATCGAACGAAAAGCGCAAAGTTGAGTGCAACTTTTGCCAATTAACGAACAATTAAACGAACTCTACTTGTTATCAGTATTTTCTGTACAAACGAAAAACGAACAACAACGGCAGCAATAGAAAAAAAAGAAACCTCAACGATTACTTTTTTTATATTTTTGGTGCCATTTGAATTATTATTCGCGGCAAGCGTGAAAAATATTAACTCGAAAGCTCAGTTCAGTCTGCGAAGCGTCTTGGCAGCGTGTGAACCACAAATCTGCGTCGCTATTGAAAAACTGGGCCCAAAGCGAACAACGAAACAAACCACAAAAAAAGGAAACAAAATAAATAAATATTAATAAATATATAAATCTTTGGAGAATTGAATTTGCGCGTGCGAAATAGGGGCAGATAGTTTTATACACACATATATTAACAAATATATATATATATATATCGAACAAATTGTCTGCCCGTCTGTGCATGTGTGAGTGTGCGTGTGAGTGTGCGTGTATCTCTGTGCTGATAAGCCCCCCGCAGGCGTTATTTAGTTTCATATATATAACTACATATGCCAGAGCCAAAGGCCCCAGCACAACGTAGGCGTATACGTAATATTAGCTACAATTGAACTCTTCAAGGAATTTCCAGAAACAGCGAACAAGTTCAACGTGTTAACTGACATAGGTTAGTACATAGGCCGTAAGACATAATAATGATAAATTAGTAAATGACGCAGTGCTCAAAACGTTAAGGCTCTCACCTCATATCTAATCAATTGACTTCATGTCCAAGCAGCGTTAGGCCCAGCCACTGGCCCCTTCGGCCACACAATAATATTTACTAACACAAAAGAGCAACAACAACGTCTATGTAGAAAAAAAAAATAATAAAAGAGAACGTCGATCACTTGGCACTTGGGAATTTTTTCCCCTGGCAAGTGCGATAAGTCGAATCGTATATACCTCGTATTATGCCATAAAGAGTCGCGTATAACACATTGATTAAGTATTACGAGATTCGCTGATCGTAGCAATATGTTTGTGTCTACATGACGTATACGTTATATTTGAAACTCTCCAATTATACTAGTTAAAATGATTCTCGAATGTTTGATTCGTCAACGCTTCAAGCCTTATTAAAACTATTAAAAGCAACACCCACACACTTAATATTCGTCGTGTTGTTCATTTTGGGGCTTCTGCTCAAGTCTTTTCAAGACACACAAAAAGAGCCAAAATGAAATCTGTCCAAAATTAGAATTGATTCGTAATGTGGCTACATTTGTCAAAAAAAAAAAAAAAACAAAAAAAACTCTTGCTCGATCTGTGGGCTGGCGACTTATTTATTTTATTTATTTTTTGTTCCTTGTTTCTGACAACCTTTTCAAATTCTTAAGTGTCACAGATCTTACAGACAACAATTCAATTTAGCTCATATTGTGATTGTTCATGAATAGAAATTGGATTTTTCTGCGAAATGTTGACAATTAGAAATAATTGGCTAGAAAATAACATTTATGTAAGCTATTTAATGTTAAGGGCAGCTGTAAAAATATTCAATTATTCTTGAATGCATTTTAATATTTCAAAATTGTTGTGAAAACTTTGTTTTCCATATAACAAGTTTCTTAGATCGCGTCTATAACAGATTTTTGAAATATCCTCTTCTAAAATGACATTTGACGAAAGTCAATTCAGACACGAACCGCAGGACATAACTCAATCACTCAATTTAACGAAACTCTCTCTTAAGGTATTTGACGAAAGTTGATCTACTGTCTTGGTACATTGCCCTCTCGCTTTCTTTGAGATATAATTTGTAGGTTATAAATCCACTTTAAATTGTTTAGCTTTATATTTAACGAATGATCGTCATTTCTCTTCGCTCTTATCTTGCCTCTCGCTTGTACTTTTATACATATTGCATCGTGTAAATTCGCTCATGTTATTCGCCTGAATTCGCCTAAATAGTTGTGCATCATCAGCTGTAGATAGGTTTTCCATAACATATGATATCACATATAGTCTAAGGTAATGGAAGACTCTGTGACATAAAATACTCGAGCTGCTGATTCGTATCTTTATATATAGATCGAACAGATACTCTTTTTATGCCATCTTATCTGCATTGCGACATTGTGATACACTTTGTTATTTTCTTGGATTTGCTCATAAGTGAATTCGAGAATGACAAATCATAAAACATTAGACATTTATCACATTATTTGCTTATCAGGAAGACACGCAGCTAAAATAAAACCATCTATCAGCACTTTCTGTTATACTACGTTGCCATTTCAATCCCAAAAACAAATGTGATTTATAAAGGCGACGGCGCTAAGCGCCTGCCATAAACGCGGCCAGATAGCAGACTGTCCAATAACAATTATCTATATATACATACATATATATATCAAACATATCGTACAGACATACGAATATGTTCATATAAGAAATATTCCGCAAATGCTAAATGAGGGCCATTTTGCGAATTTTTCAAATGTTTCTGAGCTGAATCAGTACAAGAAAAATGAGCCAAATATTCATATGAATACTAAGATTCTCTTCAATCTGTCTCATGCTCTCTCTCTCTCTTCCTCAACCCCTCCCTCGATTACAGGTTGTGAACAGCAGCAGCAGCAGCACAACGACGCGCGTGGAAAAGAAATCCCAGCGTTTGCATCATATAACATCATCATCATCAACGACACAAGCGTCATCATCGTCGTCCTCGTCGTCTTCCTCGTCATCAACGTCTTCGGAAATGAAGGCAGCCGCCGTCAAGCGCGATCTCACTGATATCAAAATGTCCATGTCGGAAATAGAGCGTCTGACAGCGGCGCCAACGCAAACGCGACACCATCCATCGATTGATGACCTCAAGAGTCTCAATAGCAAAGATGCCATAACGCAGCTAAAAAAGAAGTGAGTACCAGCTGCTTGTGGGGCTGCAGCTTGAACCATGATCACATTCGTATCTACTTGCAGAATGCGCGCCTCATTCGAGAATCTGGTTGATGGCGATGATGATAGCAGTTGCCACGGCATTGTTACGACTCCGGATGGCGATGACGATTGCACACATCAACATTTCGGCAGCGGGCTGGATCTGACACATCCAGCGGCGGCACAGCTGAGCGCCAGCAGTGGGCTAAGTGGCTCGAATAAAACGATTGACACCATTAAATTTGAGGAGAAGCGTTCCAAATCTATGGCCACCACAAAAGTGGTCGCCGACGGCTTCAGCTCCGAGCAGGCGACCAGCAATTCGGCTGAAATGAAACGTCTCCAGGCCGGAGATATTGATTACAAAGAGGCTAAGGCTGCGTCAGCGGTTAGCAATCGTCTGAATATGGATGGTGTCAAAACAGAGGAGAATGCGGCCGTCCTGCAGGTAAGCAAACTATTTATCAAGTGATCAATCAGTCCATCAATCGTCAACTGTTGCTTAGCTGATTACAA